TTTTTTTTTTTTTTTTTTTAATAGTCTACCAACAGTACTTTTGGTGAACAGTCTGGTACCACTTTGATCATGATACAGGTGCTCACCATCATTTTGATTGGGATGTATTTGTACTTACTTGGTTTTTGCATTTAGGTTGGCATGGACAAAGCCCTCAACCAGCTGTCTGTGCCCTTAGGACAGTTACGAGAAGAAGTTCTGGTAAGTGCCCCAGACAATATTAAACTGTCCCTCCACAAAGCATGATTGTTAACTTCTTCCCAAAAGTTCCTTTAAATCTAAGTTTATTGTTTGTTGTTGAATGTTCAGTAATTATAGGATTCGGCCTTTAACAAAGTTGTAAATAAATGATGTTGTATGTGTAACTAAATGATTCTCTACTTTAGGTTGCAGCATATGATGCAACCTAAAAACGTGTTTGAATTAAGGTGATTGTTAGAGGAAAGTGTTTTAAAATATGGGAAGAGGAGGCTATTTAGAAATTTAGCTTGTTAGTAATCACTAGTTCATGAGCAGACTGTATTTTAACACATTCGCAACAGCTGATTTGAATTAATTGTCCCATCAGGTGGCTTGTACCACTTCTCAGGGAGTCTTCAATTCTAATAATACAAAGAAAGCATTCCTTTAGCAGACCAGAAGTTATCATATTATAGTTCCTTAAGGAAAATATTAAAATGGTAAAAATAATTGTAATATAGCTACTTTATAGTACAGCAGTTGTAAATGCACATTATATATACCAGTAGTGGGGTGCTTATAAGATTTCCATGTTTAGAGAATGGACTATTGATAAACTATTCATAAATATAAATAAACTTATTTTAATGAAATAAATGTGTTGGTTATTATAATAAAAATTGATATTAATATTTATATTAGGGAAGTAATAATTTAAATTCAAGCAACTAACTAGATTCAGTGCCTTTATAGACTTTATTAATTGTGTTGCTTAAAAAACTGATCAAAATTATTAGATCTGTTTGTACCATCAGTGGTACAAGCACCCATGGGATACCACCAGTGATTCAAACCAGCTAAAATGTGTTAAACATTTGTAATTTCACGTGTATTTTTCCAAATGATATTTTGTATGTTGGTTAGGTTATTAGACCAGTCTACAGAAGCTATTTAAATGCTAATGCAGCTGAAGGATAATATCAAATTAATGTAACACCTAATAAACATGGTATTTCAATATTTCTCTGAAATCTTATTTGCCATGGGAATGAGATGCCCAATCTCTAAGCTGTTTCGGACAGGGAGTCCATTAGAAGGCATCTTAAAGGGCAAGTTTTGACATCCCACCCAGCAGAACACTGTGGTACCCTGTCCTGCCCAACCATCTACCCCTAGTCTGTGTCAGGGCCACTTCCAGGTGTCCTGGCATTGTTGAGGTGTCACATGCTTGATGTACTACCCCATCATGACCTACATGGGTCACAGGCAGATGGTGCGCAACTTGAATGGCCTTAGCCCAGCAATGCCTAGCATGCAGACATCCTGAATTTGTGTGATGTGTATGTGAAGTGCTAGAAAGTGCAGAACAAAGACATGTGTGTTAGACATCCACAGGAGGGAGATCAGAAAGCATTCATATGGAGATAAGTTCTGAGGAGTGTCTACTAGCAAGCAGTTCTAAATGTCTCCATCTTGTTTGATTTTGTTAAAAGCTCATCAAAGTAGTTTTGTCTGGGGTGGAAGGGACTGGTTTTTGTGGTCCACTGCTGGATTTCACTTGCCTCTGTCCAGCCTGGATACTCTGTCAAGGGTGGGGTATTTCCTGAGTCTTCAACCTTACAGGCTTCTGTGAACTCTGTGAAATGAATCACTCTCCCGACTTCCTCTCTGCCTGTGGCCTGCCCTCACAAAATCTTGCCTTGCCCCTGTCTGCCACCCTCCCTGTGCCCTTTCTCACAGCTATCTATAGAGCCACCTCTTTACTTGTCATGTTAGCCACAGATCTTCTCTTCTTTTTTAAATCCCAATTTCTGAATTCATATGGGATTCTGAGATCACTGAGGATTAAGACTGTTGCTCTCTGTTCTTCATTGTCCCCTTGTTGATTTATACAATAGCTGACATTTTGTAGTGTTTGTTGAATGAATGAATTCACTTTTCTGTAGAATTTTGTGATTTGTCCAGTTTTTCTAAATATCCCCTTACTGTCATTTTGGCCCTGATTCCTGATTATCCATGCTTGGCTTACTTCATCAGCTTCTGGACATGTTTATCCTCCCTTTACTTTGACATCCTTTTCTTGGCTTGATTCCTAAATTTCCAAAAACAGCATTTTTATCATAATTTTTATAATGTTTAAAGTGTGTAGAATTATTCCAAAGATCTTATCTGGATAGAGCTCTCTTAAGTCAATCTTCCTTCTTAATTTCTACTTCTCTCCAAATGGAAGCCTGTAGTACCCCCCAGTGGGGGAGGGGGTGCCTTACTGTACTTGAATTTGTCTAGTATCCCTTTCCTCTACTGAGAAGCTCCTGTCTGCCCTTGTCAGCATCCACAAGCTTTCAGGGTCCACTTTGTGCCTTATGCATTGATTTGGCTTCCCACTCTTAACTGCCTAGGGTGTCCTTGTGGGAACATTTTCTTTTGCAAGTGACTCCAGCATGGCCTTGGTTTTACATGTTAACCTGACTCTGAATCATGAGTAACACCGTAGCAGTTATGGCTAATACTTTGTAATTTTTGTCAGTATATGTGTGATACTGGCCTTTGGATATTAGATCTTGCAGAACTGAATTAAATGTCATGTTACAAAATAATTTTTAAGTCGATTTTCTTTATTCTTTGAAAGAGTCTTAGATCATCTGTCAGTGAAGGAATTCGAGCAGTAGATGAACGAATGTCTAAGCAAGAGGACATTAGGGGAAAAAAGGTATGCTGTGGTATTCTCCCTTTAAAGCTTTGACTTGCTCCAGCATGTTGTAGCCACCAGCACTAGGGGTGTGGCCTTACCCTTCTTGAGACCTTTGTGGAGAGGAGCATGATGTCCCTATCAATAGCTCAGCAGGGCTGGTAGGGACAGTATCCAGCTGTTCTTTCTCCTAGGCTAATTAAAGTCCTAGGAATAAGAGGCAATGAAATGCAATTAATTTTTTAAGAAGGCAAATAAAATTGCATAATCTTTTTTTTTTTTTTTTTTTTAGACCTATTTTTTTTTTTTTTGTCTTTTTTTTTAGACATGGTCTTTGCTATGTAGTTCAGACTGGCCTTGAACTCTTCATAGCCCAAGCTGGCCTCAAACTTGCAGTGATCCTCCTGCCTCTGCGTCCCTGGTGCTGAGATTATAGGCCTGCTCCCCACACCCAACTGCAGATTCTTCTTATGCTTGAATTTGCTCATCGTAGTATTAATGTTTTTAAGGAAATATGTCACATGCCAGCTAATAGTCTCCTCATGCTTCCCCTTTTCAGTTCTGTTAGACCTTATTAGGAGATAGGAGACAGAATTTCAGAGGTACTGAGTGGCTGCTAGATAAAATCCCTCATTTTTTTAAAGGAAGAAGCAGTAATGACTGACAGTGATGTACTTTAAAGTTTAGCCTGTGTGTTATTTTTGCAGCCCTCTGCAGAGAGGCTATTCAGAGTGGAAGGAACTTAGAGACAATTGCTTTCCACCTCTGCTGAAGGGTGTCCTTCGCCCCAATCTGGGGAAGAAGGTGCCATCATTGTCTCCATTGTATTCTGCATGTATTGCTGGACTGCACAGTGGTCCTGTGTTTTGGTTTTATTGTCTGATTTTTTTATAATTATGGCTGCATAATGGCAGAATTAGACTTTAGAATTTAGGATCTTCACTCTAATCTGTGTTTTGCTTCATGCTTTCTAAATTTATATTTACCATACATTTTTAAAACCTCAGGGAAGAGAAGCCTGTTTTAGAGATCTTCTGATTAGTTCTCCTTTAGATCTCTTCGTAGCTTTCCTCCAAAGACTCAGGACATAATGTGTTTCAGAAAAGACCTTAACTGTCAAGAGAGCAGGGGGATTACTTGTTCATTCATGTATTCCATGTGTCTGGCAGAATAATTTGCTTCATAGCAGTGCTAAGTGACTATTTAGTGAATAACTATATCTTTTTGTTATAATGTTCCTTACAGTCTTTGATAGTATTTGCCTTGTGTAGTGTCTTACTGAATTGACACTTGTGTATAGGTGAATTGTGCTCATGTAATTAGAGAGTATGGTTGGAAATTAAAACATAAAAAAGCAGTCTTAAATAGAGCCAGAAGAAAGGCTCATTATAATGAGGGATGTAAAAATGAATACGGAATAAGAAAGTAGGGGCAACCCACTCAGACCCCCCTTTTGTCCTGTCTGAGACAGAAGCTTTCTTTCCCAATAAAATATTCTATTCTGAAAAAAAAAAAAAGAAAGAAAGAAGTGACGTATATTGTTTTAATTATATATTTGTGATAGACTATTGAGATATACTTGTTCTAGAAATCTGAAATTAGGAATTACGTTCTTTGGGATTTAGTGTGATGTAGAAATAATAAAAATGTAAAATATTTTATTTTGTGTTGACTTTTTGGATGTGTGTTTCTGTTTCTCTGAGTTAAGGATTTGAATTAAACTTTGGGATTTTTTTTTTTTTTTTTTTGCTTCACTTTCATCTTTACAGATGTGTGTGTTAAGACTTATACAAGTTATTAGATCAGTTGAGAAAATTGAAAAGATCTTAAACTCTCAAAGTTCTAAAGAAACATCTACACTAGAAGCAAGCAGGTAAGTATTTTTACTAAACACCTCATACCTAGACTAAGAAATTTTTTTGAGCTAGAAAAAAAAAAAATCCAAACCTGGCTTAGTGTCTTTAAAAGTAGCTCGAGAGGGACTGGGGAGATAGCTCAGTGGAATAAATGCTTGCCTGCCTAGCAAGCACAAGGTCCTGAGTTCGATCCCTAATACCACCAAAATAAATAAAAATAGCTCAGGGGGCCTGGCCCTAGCTCAGGCCTTTAAGTGGCTGCTTCCACAAAGCTGTCAGCCTCAGGTTGCTGGAGTTCGAACCTCACACCTCTCCAGCTGGCCAAAAGTGCCCTGAAGGCATTCGAGGAAAAAAAAAAAAAAAAATAGCTCAAGAGAAATACTGTATGGAAGGGTCCAGGGAGATAGCTCAGTAGAATAAGTGCTTGCCTGGCAAGCTCAAGGGCCTGAATTCAATCCCAGTTCCAAAAAAAAAAAAAAAAAAAAAAAAAAAAAAATACTGAATGGAATGGTACCCACTAAATACTGATACAGAGCCTGTGTGTTTGTTTGGTGATAGTTTCTGTTGACCACTCTCCAGGAGTGAGGGGCAGGCAGTGTGATTTCTGTGCAAGATTTTAACTTTGGATGTTTTCCTTGTGCATCAGTTGTGTCCTTACCAGTCAGTTGTATGTGGAAATGGCAGTTACTTCAGGCTTTTCAGTAGGTCCTAGGTATTATTGTTGATGTGTCTAGAGCTTCAGAATGCACTAACATTGTATCATTAAGTAGTACAGTTCCTATTTAGTTGAAAATTATAAACAACAGAAGAAGCTTCACAAACTAAGAAACAAAGACCATTTCCTTTGTTAGACTGTAATTGTCTTAACCTACATCCTACTGTGAATCTGAAATCAGCTAGGTAGGTAGGAGATTCAGTAATGAGTGGCCTAGGTTATACAGACATGAGCTGAGCATCTTAGTGGAGTGGAGTGACCAAGGGTGATACAGCATGCTCATGAGGTGGCCTGAGCCAAGTTGATGCTCTTCTCTGTGTTTGAGTTTGCTGCTGTGGTGTCAGACCACATTTTAGGACTTACCCATTCAGGGGTAGACTTCCTTGGCACTGCTAGCTAGTGCCTGAAATTCCCATGTATATCTGTAGATTAAGAAGTGAAGCATCCACAGAAGAGATAACCCTACCTTGCTGGGTCTCTGCTTCTCCTCATGCACAGGATTTGTCTGATGATCAGTCCCTGCTGTCTTTGTTTCTTCAGCCCTCCATGTTCATGATTTTGCCTCTTTAGTCCCTGCATCTGCACTTGTTCATCATCATCCATCTCTTGGAGTCTAGATTGTCCTCAGCTACTATGCCTGTTACACTATTGACAGTCCTTATTCAGCCCCCTGGTCCTTTTCCAGTCCTGCTGATTCTGCCATGCTCCTCCAATGGACTCTAGGTTCCTTGTGGATGCCCACTCTCTCAGAGTGTTGTTGTTAGTGCTGCATTAAGTAATGGCATCTTTGGGCAACCGTATTCAACCTCACAGTCCTAACTACTATGAGGTGCTGACCCTTCTCTCCATGCAAGTGTCTCTAACCTCACTCATGGGTCAGTCTGACCAACAGTCTCCTGCTGTGTTGTAGGACCATGGGGACTGAACTCATTATGTTCCTTACCTGTATTTTGCCACTGGAAAAAATGTCACACTCCACTCTTCTGCCTCAAGAAATGGTGCCTGCATTACCCCTGTTCCCAGGCTAGTGGTGTTCGGGGTTGAGGGGCACCTCCACTGGTTCCATTGTCTCTCACTAGGCATATCTTGTTTTTGTTGCTGGGTTACCTGCAGGTTAGGAGATGTCTGTCTCTTCTTCTACATTTTCGTTCTTGGGCAGGGCTCCTCAGTGCCCCTCAGTGCCTTCATTGGAGCTGCAGGTGGTCTTGCAGGTTTGTTTGCCTAATCACATCTCACCTCTGCTCAGTCATTGGATACTTAAATGTTCTACTTCCCTGTAGCTCTCTCTTCCCCAGTTCTCCTTCGTCCTTCTCTAAAGTGGCTCCCTGGCTGCTGTGAACATTAGTGATCAGTGCATTGATGCATCGCCAGTTATAGGTAGATACTTTCATGTTCACCTTCTCTAGGCCCATGTAATTCCAAATCCAGCTCACGATGTGTATAAGGTGTGGAAAGGTGGTTGTTGAAGACACTGGATAGGGAAAAAGGCAAGTTTTGACATACTGTTTCGTAAAATTCAGCCTTCTCTGGTAGATGTGTTGATCCTGGCTGCTTTCTTTAACTATACCCTACTTAGTTTGGTTCTAATGAAACTAATGAATGTACACACAAGACATTGCGGAAGTAATCTTGTATAAAATTTGACTGCAGGTTCCCCTCCTCTGAGAAGTCCTTCTTGACCCCTCTTCCATGGGTGCTTGTTTTGATGCTGTTCCTCCAGCCTCCAGGTCTGCCAGGAATCTTCCCTGTGAGGCCAGAGCTGCAATTGACTTGGTTGATTTTCCCATCAGACTGTGAGATCTCTGATGTTGGATGCCAAGTCTTGCTCATTACACTGAGTGTGGAGCTGGCAGGTACCTGAAGGAAGGTCAGGCATCACACACTGTGAGGAATGTCTGTTTCTGTCTGTGCTGTTCCTTTGGAATGTCTGTTTTCAGAGTAGCAGGCTCAGTACCCTTCCTTGGTCTTTGTTGCTTTCATGGGCTTTTCTTTGGCTCAGATGAGCAAATTTGATGGTAGAGAAGTTAACCAGAACATGCCAGTACAGAGTAAACACCTTTCTGTCAGGTCAAGAAGCATATATAATGAATAATAAATCTACCCTGGGTTCTTTAGGAGAGAGCTGGGACATTCTAGAGTCATGCTGGGCAGCTGCTCTCCTGTCCCTCTGAACTAAGCACAGGACTTTGCAGACACTGGTATCAGTATGTGGCATCTCCTGTGTCTTTATGCTGTGGACTTTTCCTCACTTCTAGACTTGTCCTCTAGAGATGATGGTTCTGCTCTTCTTTTCTTTGTTGTTTACTTGTAATTGAGCAGTGGTTGTGCTTCATATTGTTTTAGGAGAACATGTATTTATTCTACTTGGTGGCAGATGCAGTGAATGTCTTCTCTGTAGAACTCACTCCAAGGATAGAAACTGTGACATAATTTTAAATTATTGTTTAAGCCTATTCTGAGAGAATTTATTTATTGCTATTGGAGAGCCAGTCTTATTTATTGAGGTAGCATGACTGGTATTTTACAGGTGTTAGAAGTAATTCGGACTTTTGTATTCAACTGCTTTGAAACTTAGAGATACTAGTACTTGTTTTTATGTAAAAATTGTGTCATGATACTTGTTTGGTACTTGATACACAAGCTAGAAGGTGTCAGTGTCTGTTGTCTCATGACTTGCAACCCTTTTCAGCCAGACTTGTTTGGTACTCATCACTTTTGGTGTCTCTTAGTCCTGCCAGAGCCAATTAACACCAATACTAAGGTATGGCTGTATTTTAGAAGGGAGAATGAGCAGGTAAAAAAATAGGGAAGAACTCAGATGAGTAGAGGGAGAGGGAACAAGAGAGAAGGGAGGTCAGGAGTAAAGTGAGAGTCCAGCATGTGGCCACCCTGCTGTCCAGACAGCTGGGCTTCTGCTTCACCTTCTGAGGCCAGGCAACACTTGCTGACACCCACCATTCCCAGGAAATGGTGGGCACATGGCATAGAAGACCAGCCTGGACCTTGTAACAAGGTGGCCATTGAAAAACACACATTGGGAAAGCTGGGCACATAGGTGTGAGCCATGCCCTGGCTCTCTAGAAAGTGAATACCTGTGAAACTGAATTCTGTGATTGTCACCCCACATAGCCCACTCCTGACTGGACAGGTCCTAGAGAGAATCGCCACGGAGTTCAACCAGCTGCAGTTCCATGCGGTGCAGAGCAAGGGCATGCCTCTCCTGGACACAGTTCGGCCTGTGAGTGTTGCCTGGACCTTTCCTGTGCACTGTTGGGGAACTTGAGAAATCATTTTGAGATAATCTAAGGACACATGCATGTATAGACTCAGCCACATGTTCTAAATCACAGAACAACATTCATTTCTGAACTTTATATAATTGGACATATAATCAGATTTAATTTTTCTGAAGCCTTTGTTAAGCTTGAAATCTATATTTAGCAAAAAGATTTCCTTTGTAGCTGTAGAAGAAATTTGCTTTTTCTCTTTATGTAAACTTTCTAAATTCTTCTTTGATGAATCAGAAGTCTGTTTATAGAGATTATGAGGATGGGGAGAGATTCATTACCCCAAGAAATGTGACTGTGGCCTACTATCTCGTGGGGGTGAAGCACCAGTGAGTTTCAGAAAGTGCTTGTCGTTTGTTCCCACAGCGCATAGCTGGCATCACAGCCATGCTGCAGCAGTCCCTGGAGGGCCTCCTGCTGGAAGGCCTACAGACCTCCAGTGTGGACATTGTGCGGCACTGCCTGCGCACTTATGCCACCATCGACAAGACAAGGGATGCCGAGGCCTTGGTGGGCCAGGTGCTGGTGAAACCCTACATAGATGAGGTTTGTATGCTGGGTAGCTGCTGTGATTGCGTTCTGCTGGGCTGGGGTGAGGTATGCCTGAGGCCTTACTCTGAGGTCCTAATTACTACAGGACCAACATGAGCACAGGGGTTCATGGGCACAGTTGGTGTGCCCTAATGTGCAGCTCAGGTATGGCCTTCACTTCAGAACAAGTTTTGCCTAACCAGACGCATGTCCATTATATCTTTAGTCCATTATGCAGACTTTGTAACCAGTCTTGTGGGTGGAGTAAACTAAGGAAGCACATAACAGTGCTGCCTCACAGGAGGTGGCACAGAGAGCTGTGAGCATGTAAGGTGTGTGAATGGGAACTGCAGTGTGCACCCACAGACCTTCGTGAGGTGGTGACTGTGGGCCCAATGCTTGAGTAGTCGGAGTCTGTTAAATCAGAATGGTGAGGGAGCAGTATTCAGACATGAAGGGTTTTAATCGCAAATTAGAAGGTGGCACTTGGCTACCAGTGCCCCTCACCCATTAGGATACAGATAAAGAATAGGAGTAAGTGTGCTGTGCCAGGAATGGCCAGAGGGCAGGTTACCAGAAGCAGCATGTATTGTGGGTGAACTAGTAGAAGTCAGGAGGCCTGTCCTTGGTGTTGGCAGGTGTTTTTCTAGCCCTGTCACTCTGTCCAGTAAGAACTGTACAGAGAAATTCCTGTGACTAAAAAGTGAAAATCCTTATAATTTTTTAAGGGGAAAATTGAATCCCAAAAATAAAAATGAAATTTGCAGATTAAGTCTAGAATGACCTTCAATTTCCTGCTTTGGTATGTTGCTGCATTCCATACCTATCTTTGGAGAGGGAAAAGGAGAAATTGTTTGAATTATTTATCAGTAAGTAAAATTATTTTAGTAGCTATGTCCTTTTCCCTTATTGAACTGAATGTGATATGTTAAATTGAAGAAATATTAGAAGCTTGTGGCATATTAAGTAAATCACAGCTCTATTTTACTTGAATTTGGGTACTTACCCTGTGGTATATCATGAGTTGACTCTCAACCTTAGGACCAGAAACTAAAAAATATATATATATTTTCTTTGATTTCTCTAACACTTCCCCTAGGCTGAATCATGACAGGATCAAAGCAGTGAGGGATGATGTGGTAGGAACCCTGTGCTCCGACTTAAGTCATTGAAAAAAAGATACTATTTCTGTTCAGGGTCATCTGGAAGCCAGTGAATGTGAGAGTTTATCAGCCCTGGCCAACATCTTGGCTAGCTTTCATCTCCCCCACTGTCAAAACAGTTCAAGCAAAAGTAGGAACTGGTTCCAAATATGACCTAATTTTAATTGGAGAGAACAGTGGCCATGAGGAATGGGTTTTGTTTGGTTATTTTGGTGTTTTTTAGTCCTGGAGATCTAACCCAGGGCTTGCATGTTAAGCATCATCCCCAACCTTTTTCCCCCTAGTTTTTATTTTGAAACAGGGCCTCACTTAGTTGCCTAGGCTGGTCTCAAACTTGCTATCTTCCTGCCTCACACTCCTCCCAGAGTGTGTAATTTAAGGTGTGTACCACCATGCCCAGCTAATGAAGTATATTTCTAAGTGTGTTTTTCTTTTTTTGTTTCTATATATCATCTATATTTCTCTTTTAAATACTTTTAAAAATTCCTGGGCCGGCGAGATAGCTCAGTGGACTAAGCACCTGCTTTGGCAAGCATAGGGACCAGAGTTCGATCCCCCGTTACATGTGCTGTGCTGGCCTCGCCCCCAGAGCATGCTGAGCCCCAGCTGAGTCCCGACATAGTGGCGCACGCCTGTAATCCCAGCTCTGGGGAAGCTGAAAACAGGAGGATCACTACAAGTCCAAACTGCATAGGGGACCCTGTATCAAATACATAAATGAAAAAAAAAATAACAAAATAAAAATGCTATTCCCTTTCCTAGGTGATTGTGGAGCACTTCGTTGAGTCCCACCCTAGTGGTCTTCAGGTCATGTATAACAAGCTTCTGGACTTTGTTCCTCATCACTGCTGCCTTCTCCGGGAAGTTACAGCAGGAGCTGTCTCAAGGTAACCCCAGGGACTCTGTCTTGACCACTTCAACCTCAACTCCACCTTTTTGCACCTGCACTGGCCACTGCTAATGCACAGCAGGTACACTACTCACATGGACAGGTCCCTGGTGAGCTTCGGCTCTCTTTCTCCCCCTGATGCAGTGAGGCAAGTACCATCACTTTGTCCCACTGAAGAGCCTGGGCCTAAGGCTGTTAGAACCTGGCCTTTTTCCTTCTCTACACTTCTTATTGACTCCACCATCCAGTCACAGGTGCATTCCTTCCATGATTCTGCATCCTCCTGTACCATTGTCAGTTCAGTTTCAACAAACTTTTTTTTTAAATTTTATTTATTTATTTATTTATTTATTTATTTATTTATTTAGTGTGTGTGGCCAGCTCAGCCCACCAGGGGGCGGCACTGACTGGCATGTGGTGCTGGGGGATTGAACCGCGGTCCCTTTGCTTTGCTAAGTTTTTTCTAAGTAGGTGCTTTAGACCACTGAGCCATCTCTCCAGCCCCAGTTTCAACAAACTTTGTAGCGTGTATGAGTTCATCCTCAGTTTCTCCTCTCATCAGTTTTCATGACTTCCCATGCTTTTGTAAATATCCCATTACCTTAATGAGTACAATGGCCCAGTCTATTATTGTCTCTTGTCCAGAAAAGCAGGTTCTCCCACTGAGTATTTCAGAACTTCTGAGATCCTTAGACTGTGCCTTTTTCCTGAATCTTGGGTGGCTTCTCAGTGCTCATGGGAATAGCAAGGCTTCTGGGTAGAGGAGAGAAGGCGCCTTCTGGTCTGGCCCTGGCATCTCTTCACTAAAAAGTTTGTGTGGAAGTTGTCCTCCGTACCTCTTGGTGCTCTGACCATGGTGCTGGCCACCTTTCCCCAGTACCTTTGCACCTGCCTGCTTGTGTGTTCTTGTTGCCCTTTCTCTTACTGTTTTTCTTTCTTTCTTTTTTTAAATATTTTATTTATTTGGTACATGGTCTCACTATGAAGCTCAGACATAGTGATCCTCATGTCTCAGCTTGCATAGTGCTGAGATTACAGGGGTACCCCACTGTGCCTGGTTTCAGTGGCCAGCTTGGCACCTGGGGCTGGCATGGCATGTGGTACCAGGGATATCAAACTTGGGTCCTTGCGCTTGCCAGGTAGGCACTTAGACCACCGAGCTACCTCTCAAGCCTTCTTACTGTTTTCTTTGTCTCTCTATGGCACTGTTATTCTATATGTAGACCTATCTGAGCCATTGCTTCTTTGAAGAGACTGTGCTTTATCCTGGTGTTCATCATGAATTGTGTCCAGGACACAGCGCCTTTGCTTCTGCTGTGGATCAACTTCATGTAATAAAGGGTCACTGCCTGCCTTGCCTGTTCTTCCTCACCTTGTGACACATTTCTTGAAGTCAGCAGCTGCCTAGTAGTGCTTGCAAAATGAAAGAGTTCAGGAATTTTCATTGATAAGAAGGGAAATAAGGTCCTTGTGTTCACATATGCAGGATGATTAATATTCTACTTGAGCTTTGAGGTACCTTTGTGTATTCCTGAATCATTGTAGATGAGGACTTATTTTGCCTCTTTAGCATGGTAATCATGAATATGTAGTTGGATTTGTGTTGAGGATAAGAACTTAGTACAAGTCATGATATAAAATTAAAGAGGCTACAGTTATGAGGCATCCAGTAGTTAAGTTTGACAGAGCTAGTCTTGGTCCTCAAGTGTCCAGTTTCAAAGCTTTAGAAGTTCCTTGTCAGCAGTTCTCTACTAACCCGAGACTTTGGGGAAGTCATGTTCTCTTCTATATACTCTTGGCTCTGTGCTGTATTAAAAACAAAAATTTGAGTTGCTAAGTAAAAATTTAAAATGCATTATTTTATCCAAGTTATGGTCTCTGACACTTTCAGGACAGAAATATTTCTTTTAGACTATAAAGTATAAATTCAGTCTAGGTAACAATTGTGACTAGATAGGTACATTATTTTCTAACTTTGTTTAAGAGGCCTCTGCCAAATTCTTGCAGAGGCCTCAGATTCTTGAGGACTCTTAAGTCATCTCTGCCTGCTTGCACTGTAGTGTGTCCAGTACAGTGTGGTTTTTACATGCCCCTGCCATCCCTTGCTCCACTCTTAGGGCTCAGTGTCACTCTTGTCCTTTTCTGTTTTTTTCTCACATATTGCCCTCTACAAACATCCAGGATCAAGAGGCTTGTTCTCTTCAGTGGTCACCTGTTAATCTTGCAGGTCTTAAATTTGGGGAGGGGTCTTTAATTTGACACTTTCTTTGTGAATGCAGAGATTAATTATTTGATGTTGATTATACTGTTGTGTCTGTAAATCTTCAGTTTCATTCTTTTCTAGATGCCTTATACCACCTCCCGTGGAAAATCTGATGACCCAGTATGTGGGGTCCTTGCGGGAGCAAGTATTTTCCTTGCCTCTTCCTCCTGTGTAGTTTTCCTCCTTGCTCAGGCAAAGCTCTAAATAAGATCATTGAATGCTATTCCTGGACGTAGAAGCAGTGCTTCCTTGATGCCCTGTCCAAATACCTTCTGCTGAGTGGGAAAATTATAAAACCCTTTTTTCAGTTTAATACCTACTAGAATTTTAAGTCCTAGAGTGATATGACAGTTTAGTTGTACAACTCCCAGATTAGCCAAAATAAAATTAAGATTAAATTGCTCACCATCTTTAAAGAAAATTATCTTAAAAATGAGTGTAGTTTAAATTGAGTGTAGTTTGTCTAGATACATGTTGTGTCCATTTTTAGGAAAAAAAAATACATGTGTACGGGGTAACATGTTTTGCCTAAGACCTGACCTGCCATGTGAACTCAGGTTTGCTGACTCTGAAGTGTGTTTAGTCTCAGTGGTTTTTTGGTGTGTGTGTGTGTGTGTGTGTGTGTGTGTGTGTATGTGAAGTTTTTGAAATAGAAACCCAACATGCTACCAGATATAGTAGCACACACTTGTAATCCTAGTATTCAAGAAGCGGAGACAAGAGAATTATTGAGGGTTTAAGGCCAGCCTGGGCTACAGAGTGAGTTCAAAGCCAGTCTGGACTGTATAATGAAGCATTGTCTGAAAAAGAAATCCCACCTCCAGTGTTGAAAATCCTAAAACATGTACACACAAAAATGCATGAATCTGTTCTCAGTTTTGTTCTATCAAGATTTGAATAAAAGTCATAGAATTTTAGAACTGAAAATAATTTTCAAGGTAGGGCAATAAGGGTAAAGTAATGAAAAGTTTACATCATTTGCAGACTTCTAGTGGTGTCCAGCTTGCTTCTTCTGTGGTAAAGAACATTGGGGCAGCAGCTTTTGTAAATGGAGAGCAGTGGCTATACATGCAGTGACTTGGCCTTATCTTTCACATTGGTGTGGGAGTTGGGCTCCGTGAAAGGTGTCAGGTTCAAAATGACACCAAGATCTAGGGATGTCATAGTACCTCAGGTATAGAAATACGCTAGTTGACATATCTGGTCTTTAAAAAAAGTTAAAATGGACTGGGGAGAGAGCTTGGTGGCCTAAGTGCCTGCTTGGCAAGCTCAGGGACCCAAGTTTAATCCCTGGTACTGCATGCTGTGCAGGCCCTGAAACTGGGCATGGTGGTGCACGCCTGTAATCCCAGTGCTAGGGAGGCTGAGACAGGAAGATCACTATGAGTCTGAGTAGCATAGCAAGATCCTGTATCAAATTTTTTTAAAAATTTTAAAAAAATTAAGACGTTGAAATAAGTTCTAGGCTGAGAATTTTTAATATAATAGAGGTAGAAACAACACTGTGGAAATTTCCTCTTTGTAATTATGTGATGGTGAACTTGACCAAGATTTTTCTCTTGTTTTACAGTGAGAAGGGCACCACTGTTCCTGGTTATGACTTCTTGGTAAACTCTGTCTGGCCAGAAATAGCAAAAGGACTAGAAGAAAAACTCCCCTCACTGTTTAATCCTGGGGACCCTGATGCATTTCACCAGGTAGCTTTCTATCTTCTTGGTTTGTGAAGATACTAACCCGAGACTTTGGGGAAGTCATGTTCTCTTCTATATACTCTTGGCTCTGTGCTGTATTAAAAACAAAAATTTGAGTTGCTAAGTAAAAATTTAAAATGCATTATTTTATCCAAGTTATGGTCTCTGACACTTTCAGGACAGAAATATTTCTTTTAGACTATAAAGTATAAATTCAGTCTAGGTAACAATTGTGACTAGATAGGTACATTATTTTCTAACTTTGTTTAAGAAATCCTAAGGATCTATGAAGTCATTATCTTTGCATTTGTTTTCCATGGAAAATTAAGTTTATATATCATTACTGTACAATTTGGAACAAAAATAACGATTGGATTTTAAATTATTTTGTATAAATATCATTTATAGTTTTACAAATTAGGAAGGATTAGATTTGGGGGTGATGTTTCTTTGTTTTGTTCTTTGAGACTGGAGGTTGAACCCAGGACACACACTTTATTTTGAGACATAGTATCACTAAGCTGCTAATACCTGGACAGCACCTTTGATCTCCCTGCTGTAGCCTCCCAGAATCTGGGGTACAGCCTGTTGTGACTCAAAAGCTTTCATAGTTGAGATTCCCAAAGCATGTTTGATGCTCTTTTCCCCTGTGTGGCCTCTTAACTGTGTCCAGGCCATGAGCATGGGGCAGATGCCTGAACCCGACACGCACCTCCTTGCTGTGTGTCTCAGCCTTCCTGCTGGAGTTTGGGTTGTGGATTTTTTTTTATCTAATAAAACAACCTTTGCCTTATTATTTAAGTTAGGTGGTTTGTTAAATCTAAATGACTGTAATTATTGGTATATTGGGGGTTTATTTTGTATTTGGGGTACTTTGTTTTGGGGGGGTTTTCTTTGTTTGTTTGTTTGTTTGTTTGTTTTTTTAAGGATCTACAGAGTCTTACTACATTGATTGGACTCGTAGTGATTCTCCTGTGTTCAGCCTCCCAAAGAGCTAGGATTACAGGTGTGCACCACCATGCCCAGTCTCAAATCACCATCTCAGCACACCCCGGGGGCGGGGCCAGCACAGCATGCCGGGGAACGAACCCTGGCTGCTGCGTTGGGTTACTTATTTTGTACCCCTGTTTTCTTCACTCTTCTTTCTCTATTCCTTTGCATTTTAGACTTTTAGGGATTTTTCTCCTTTATTCCTTGTTTTTCCTTTTATTAATATGGATATCAAGACCTTTTTTATTTCTGTGTATCCTAAGTGAAAGCTGATAGATGTTACTTCTCTTCTTAACAGAAGCCAAGTTACCTGGTGTTCTTCAGCCTCATCCTGAACAGGAGAGGGAACTTGGAAGACTTTAGTGCTCACTGTGGCATCCCACGGTGTGTGCAGCTGTTCCAGGCTGACTCTTACATGTTATTCCTTTGGCCTGGGCATTAGCTCTGTTGTTTACACAGTCCTATAGTCCTTGCACTGTGAGTTTCTGCTGGGGCTTGTCCTTTGTGTTGCTGTTGTTCTTTCTTGGCTATCTTCTTGTATCATCTTCCTACAGTTTTTCTGCTAGAAACTTCTGTTTGAAGAGTGGTTTTGCCAGACTCAGCTTATATAGCCATGTATCGGACCTTTGTTATGAAATCAACTATTAATCTGTTTTTTGTCCATTGTTAATACTTTTTTTCTGTTTGCTTTTAAGATTATCTCTTTGGTGTGCCAAATTCCACTGTTTGCCTTATGTAAACTTCTTTTTATTTATGTATGGAATATGTTGGATTTCCTGAATTGAGCTTTTCCATCCATGAGCTGTCTTTCGTCCATTTTGGAGCATTTTTGTCCATGAGCTGTCTGTTCAGTTGTGCTTTTCTCTCACTCCTGTAGCACCTGCTCCTGGGACCCTTGATTTCCCTCCCCTCACCCCTCTGCACCTGCTGCATCCAGGTGATACATGGGACTTGTTTGCCAGCACACCGATGCCTCCTTCAGTTGCATCTGATCTCTTTTACTTCTGCATACTGTTGCCAGTTATCATAGTTGTCAATTCTAGTTCTATTTGCTGCTTTTGGTAGTCAATCTGCTTAATTTGCTTCTTTTAAATGCATAGAAAGGTACAAGGTAAACATGCAGAGTTTGGAGCTAAGTAGACTTCAAAATAGTGTAGATAATAGCTTAGAGCTTTTTTGGTCCCAGAAATAGCTTTTACCAGTTCTCTGATTGTCTCATGTTGTAGCATATTAAATAATAGGATGATTTGCGTTGTTTTTGATAAATGGTGTAACAATTTCTGTGAATTTAAAAGTAGGACTTTTTAAATTGGATACCGTGAACAGGGTAAAATGCTGGGTTAAGGCTGAGCTGCAGAGGGAGCTTCATGGTTTGCTGGGCTCTCTAAAGGGTCGCATTGGCTGCGTCTACTCCATAGATGTTTCCACTCAGAAAGAGCCTTTCTAATAGAACCATGACTTTGCAGTTCTCAACCAGTATTCAGTGTCTGTGGCTGCATTTTCCTTAGGTCTCCCATCACCTTTTTTCAAGACCAACTGTAACCTTTAGCCTTAATGCAGCACATTGCTATGCAGAGGGAAGTAGCCTGGCATTCTTTTAACATCTGCCAATCCATAGATGAAGGTTTATCCCAAAAATGGGATTAGAGCCCTTCTACACCTTAGTTCCACACACCTGTGCCACCCTTGGATTATGAGGAACGTTGCCTGAGTCTGGTTGCCACAATTTTAAAGCCTGGGGTTTTGACTGCACTGAAATTCTTTTCTAAGCATAGGCCTCTGCATATTCGGGGTCATAGTTTGGTGACCTGGGTTGGGTCTGCCCACCCCATCTGAAGAGAATATAAAAGGTCTAGTACTACTTTGGTAGAGCCTGGGGCTGAAGGAAAAGGGAACCCACAGAAGGAGTATGCAGCCAGCTGCTGACACTAAGGGTCTGCTTCCCCTGCTGTTTGTTTTGGCTTTTGGGAAGCTTCTGCCTGACTCCCTCAGAAAAGGAAGCAGTGATCAAGGTATTAGTTGGGGGGTTTTGATGATATTAGTCCTCCTGACAGTTTTCATGCCCTCTTACCTGTAAAATGGATATGATACTCTCTTTTTTCTTTAAAATGTTTTCTTAGCCAGGACTGGTGGCACATGCCTATAATCCCAGCACTCAGATGGCTGAAGCAGGAGAATCACCGTGAGTTTGAGGCCAGCCTGAACTGTAGAGTGAGACCCTGTCTCAAAAAAAAAAAAAGGTTTTTTTTTCTTCCTTCTAGAGAGACAGTGAATTATACCACTTAATCCACTGTCCTCTGATGAATGGAGTTGGGTGCCCTGGACTATGAGTGCTGTTGAACTAGCACTGGACTTAGGATAGTCCTTCTGGGTTTCAGAAAGACTTTGCCATGGAAGACTATGGGCCTATCAGCAACTGCTCTAGATACTACCACATCCCTAAGTGGGGATATTAGATGGGAGCTTCTGCAAGGTCTCGGTCAACTCTAGAACTGTGACTCTCCTGTTGACTGATCTTGATTAGTTTCCAGTGTGTGCACCTGGTTAACTTACTGATAATGATAATTCCACTGTTCTTATTTTAGAAATATACCATAAGTATGGATTTTGTAAGAAGATTTGAACGACAGTGTGGGTCCCAGGCCAGTGTGAAAAGGCTAAGAGCACATCCTGCCTATCATAGCTTCAATAATAAGTGGAACTTACCTGTTTATTTTCAAATAAGGTCAGTCCTTTGCTCACTCTCCTGTCCCCTAAACAGAGTCTGAGTGCTGGTACAAAAGGTTGACTTCTTCTCTGGGGCCACCACATTCTTTAGGAGGCAGAATTGATATGGGAAGTATCATGGGTGCCAAGCTGGAAAAGTGGTGTCTTCTTCTGATAATGGGAAAGAGCTCTGTACTTAAAATGAGCTGGAAAAAATAAAAAATAAAGATAAATAAATAAAGTGAGCTAGACTCTAGGCCTGGCTTCCTTCCCACCCAGTATAATCACATTTGTGGAAAAGATTAGAGAATACAGGAGTTTGATAGCTCTTTCCTTTCTCCATCTCACCTCTGCCTCAGATAATTCCATAGCAGTTAGGGTCTCTGAGCTGCAGTGTTTGCTTCCTCAGGGAGCAGGGGAGCTCAGCTGTGGTGGCCCTCACCTGTCAGCTTGGCAGGAGCCTGTGATGCTTGTTCTGTGGACTGTCTTTCTCCCAGACCCTCAGCCTTGTGACCCCAAGCTCAAGCACCAGGTCCTGCCACTTCTTGGGTGCCTGCAGAGCCTGACATGCCCACCTGGCCCTGTCAGCCATTCATTCTAGCTGGTAATCAGGCCTAAAATAGTGCTGATACTCAGCCAGTGCCCAAGGAAAACTTTTCTTCACCAGATTTGCCTAAAATATTAAAGGGATTGGCTAGCTTTTTCTGCTTTACTTAAAAAATCTCTGAATTTTTTGTGAGGTGTGTTTTATGAAGTGAGTTTGTCCATGTAAAAAATAAATTCAAGTAGGACTTTGTAGAACTTTTCTATTGATTTTTCCCAGATGTTGGATTGTTTACTCTGAGGATGACTGAAGATCTGCAAACACAGCTAGGGGTTTGAGTGGCACTGTCACATTACTGCAGGGTCATTTTAAAGGGGACCTAAGAACAGGGTGCTCACATTCTGACATTTTCATAGATAGAGTAACCTCAGGACCATCGTACCCTCTTGGATCTGATGTGCCCACGCTCAGTCATCCATAGGAAAAAAGCAGCCTCTGCTCACAGCTCACCACTGTTCAGCATAGTCCCAGAGAACTTGTGTGTGAGAGCAGTGGCTCTCATGGACACATTGGAAACACTGTCAGATTCAAGTTTCTTAGAGAAAGGGAGGAAATGTGTGACTAAAACAACCTCAAGGACCAGGAAGATGGCTCAGTAGAATAAGCACTTGCCTGGCAAGCTCAAGGGCCTGAGTTCAATCCCCAGTTCTGCCAAAAAATAAGAAGAAAAAAAAAAATTGCCTCAAACTGTGTTCATCCATTGGCAATCTAGAAATTGTAGACAAATAAACAATAAGAGCTAGGAGTTAGTTTGTTTTGTTTCTAGAATATTCTTCAAAATATCCGCATGTCTGTGCTGTCCGTGTGGCACTCAGCATGTGCTGAGCACAGCAGGGCTCCTCCACTGAGGTGTGATTGGCCCCCCTCCCCACCCCTAAACCCTCACCTGGCAGTGGACACACACCTTGCTGTCTTTGGAGCCTTGGAGCAGAGGGCAAGATAATGCCTGTCACTGTTGTTGTAGCCATTATTGTTACTTTATATTTTTGCAGTCTTCTGTAGCCCTGTGAAGTTCATGAAGGAATATGCAGAGTAGGAATGTAGATATGTTTGAATCTGGAGTTTCCTCTCTTACTTAGATCCTTTTGATAGTAGAGCAACTTAGTGTGCATCAAGAAACCATAGCACATGGTAGTGTCCCAAATTTTCTGATCAAGAAGATTATGGGGCCAAAGAGGATAGTGATCGATGATGTACAGTGTGCCTAAGGAGAGTCACATGGAGAGAAAACATTCTCTCAGTCTTTCACAGAGAGCACATTGGCCAAGCAATGGCCGTGACTCATCCACATGGCTGACACTGGCAAAGGTTCTACAATCTGAGGTACAGGATTTCAGGATA